CTCCGCAACGTGAGTGGCGGCGGGGAGGTGGGAAGAACTCTGCGTGGGGAAGAGTCAGCCCCCACCCCGGGCTTCTGACCCCCGCTCCCGGCGGGGCCCTGTGACAAGCCCTGGAGCCCCTGGTTCTTGCACGCACTGAGGGGCTCGCTAAGACTCCCTCCAGCCCCAGACCCCGGGACCCTGCCTCAGCTTGGCCAGGAGTGTCGCTAGTGGAAGGGAAGCCCCTTGGAGCTACCGCAGGTGGAAAGCGCTGCCCACCCCCAGTCAGGAAACTCCAGTGGCTCCCCATCCTTTCCCCCCAGCATCAAATAGAAAAGCCTCGGTTCGGCATTTAAAGCTTTTCACACCCTGACGCCTTCCTCCCCTCCAAGTACTCAGCGATCCGGGGACACTTCACCAGCCGCCCCCACCCCCAATTCCTGGCATTCTGTCTCTCCTGGCTTTCCCGACTTAAGGTCCCAGCAAAAATGCCACCTTCTGAAAGATGGTCTTCCTGACACCCCTTTCCCCCCAGTCCTTAATCATAGTGCCTTCCCTCTGAGACTGCCCCGACTTTAGCGTGTTAGGTCTTTGCATTTTCTCTCCCCCGTTTAGACCCCAGACTCTCTGAGAGCAGGACTTCTTTTTTTACTTTCTTTGCTTGGCATGTAGTAGGCGATTTAATAAATGTTTGTTGATTTGATTAGTAAATTCCACATCACTAGAGGCAGGCCTTAAAACAGATTTTGCAATGACTCCCTCCACACTCACACAAATACTTTGATCCAGTGACACCTGCCTCCAAGCTGTTCCAGGAGCTAGATACTCCATCTTTCTGCTCAAGGCATTCTCTCTGGCTCTTTCCCATGCCTGGAATGCTCTATGTCCTCCACTCCAACTACTGACCTCCCTGGCTTCCTTTAAGTCCCAACGAAAATCTCACCTTCTACAGGAAACCTTCTCCAACTCCTCTTAATTCCAGTGCTTTTCCTCTTTTAATTATTTCCTATTTATCCTATATATAGCTTGCTTTTTATATATTTGTCTGCATGTTGTCTCCTCTAGATTGTAAGCTCCATGAGGGAGGGGACCGTCTTTTGCCTTTTTTGTATTCCCAGTGCTTAGCACAGTGCTTGGTATATAGTAGGTGTTTAATAAATATTTTCGATTAATTGATGTTGTAAAGGTCATCCTTGTTCAGGTTCATATCAGTCTAGATCTGGGGCAGCTAGGTTGCACAGTGGATAGACCAACGGCCCTGGAGTCAGGAGGTCCTGAGTTCAAATGTGGCCTCAGACACATAACACTCACTACCAGTGTGACTCTGGGCAAGTCACTTAACTCCAATTGCCTCACCAAAAAAAAAAACAAAACCAAAATCAAAAAAACCCAAACACATTAGTCTAGGTCAGAGGTTCATAACCTAGGATTCAGGAGATGATCTTGGAAGGGGAAAAGAAAACATATCTTTATGTCAGTATGATTGGTTTTCTTTATAGATCTTTGTATCTTATTTTATGCATTTAAAATTTTGAGATGATGTCCATAGGCTTCACTATACTGCCAAAAGGTCTATGACACAGAACAGGTTATATCCTCCAGATCAGATAGTCTTCCATTTTTTTTTTTTGTAACTCAGAAGTTCTCTAATGATAATAGTTGTTTAAACAAGCCTAGAAACTTCTCCATTCTAAATTGGGGCGATGAGGTGGGGTATTAAGTGAGTGTTTAGTCCTGGAATTATTAAATGAGAAAGGCACTGAATCAGGAATGAGGAACCAGAAGTAGCTATGTCACCTTGGACAAGTTATTTTTACCGCTTTGGGTTCCAGTTTCCATATCTGTAAAATGAGGGCATTGGATTAGATTGCCTACAAGATATCTTTCAGCTTTAAAGTTTGATCCTGTTCCATTTAATTCATTCTCAGTCCCAAAGTTACAGGGCCAGGGTTATAAGTATTTGACAATGCTATCTAAATAGAATTGAGAAAGGTGGGATCATTGTGATTTGGAATTGGGACTCTAGGAATGTTGAAAGACCATCTAAACTAGAGGCCACCTCAGACTAGTTGTGTGACTTAAAACTTGGATGTGGGGGAGTCATATGAGAGAAAAGGAGTGAGCCAGGGTTTTTTTCTGGAACAAATCTGTAGCAGAGTAGCGCTTTTAAGTGCACATTATGTGTCTAAACCCTGAGGATACAAAGAAAGGTAAAAGATAGTCCCTGCCGTCAAGAACCTCACAGTCTAAAAGGGGGAAGAGGATGGGGAGAAGTCAACCAGCAAACAAATAGATATGGACAAGCAATATGCAGAATAATAAGAAAATAAATAACAAAGGAAAGGTACTAGAATTAAGAGGGATTGAGAAAGGCTTCCTGTAGAAGGTGGAATTTTTGCTGGGACTTGAAGGAAGTCAGGAAGTGGAAAGGAATGTCTCAGGCATAGGGGACAGCCGGAGAGAATGCCTGAAGCTGTGAGATGGAGGGTCTTGTTCCTAGAACAGCCAGAAAGACAGAGGGGAAGTGAACAAGGAAAGTGACCTAGAATAGCAGCACCAAGGTTAGACAAAACAAACCTTTCTTTTTCAGCAACTCAGAAATATGGATAGTTTATACTCCATTGCAAAATAAAGGCTTTTGCTACTTTAGGTGGAATATTTGTAGTACTAAAAGGGAAGCTGGGGGCTGGATGAGATGACCAGGCCTAGGGTTCTGTGATTCATTGTTATGTTACTGTTTCTATCATGTTCCTGTTTCCATTTCCAGAGAAGTATGCCTCTTAAAGTAATATCATGAGATACTTCTTTTTCCAGCTGACTTGTATATTATGGCTTGGGGAGTTCTTATGTAATAATATTAGTAGCTCATATTTATATATCACTTGATATTTTGCAAAATGCTTTTCTCAAAACAACTGAGGTAAGTGGAATAAGTAATGTTATATTCATTTTAACAGATGAGAACACTGAGGCTAGGAGAGATAAATTAGCTTGCCCATCTGTAGTCACACAACAGCAGGCAATGGAAGTAGGGCTCAAACTCAAGTCTTCTCCACAGTTCAGCGCTGTTACAGGTTCACACACTTGGATGCAGGCACACATATGAGACAGGCAGGGCGCGGAAATAGTTTATCAGTAGACTTCAAATCTGTCCATTCTCCAAAAAAAGAAAATCTTTATGGAAACATTAACAGTTCTCAGATCCTAAAGTTTAGGATAAAGACATTGCCATGTCATCTGACTTCATGTCTTCATATCAAGTCATTGCAGAAAAAGTTATATTTAACTTCTGTATATTCTGTACCACTGGAATGTGACCTACATTCTGTTTTCATGGATGCCCAGATTCTAAAGTTTAGGATAAAGACATTGCCATGTCATCTGACTTCATGGATGCTCAGATCCTAAAGTTTAGGATAAAGACATTGCCATGTCATCTGACTTCAGTCTTCATATCAAGTCATTGCAAAAAAAGTTATATTTAACTTCTGGGGATTTATTACCCAAACCCTTTTTGGGAGAAAACTCTCTCAAGTTGGCCTGTACCAGATTTGAAGAACTGAAATTGTTTGATTCTCTTAACTATCTTCCCTTAGATTTACTTGGGTTTTGGGTTCCAAGTCGCAACTAAAATCTCACCTTCTACAGGAAACCTTCTCCAACTCCTCTTTATTCCAAGATAATATTAGCAATTATTTCTAGCATATCCTATGGTAAATAAGGTGGACTTAGTTGTTTTTAAACATGGATTATATTGATTTTTTTTTTGTTTCTCTGAGATACTTATTGCCTTTGTGCCACTGGAATGTGACCTACATTCCGTTTTCATGAATGCCCTCAAAATGGTTTGCCTAAAACCAATTCTCCTGAAGCAGCTGGTAATCTGATGATTCTGGAACAGTACCACCAGCAACCTGCCAGGATCGGAAGCCAAGGATCTTCCCTTTCCCCAGCCCAACGTTGATTACATATTTTCTACTAGACATTGAATACCCCTTTTCAGCTAATGCTGAACCCCTCATATCTACCTTTTTTAAATGTTGCCCAAAGCCTCGATCTACTCTGATCCTTGGACACACTACCCTTTTTCCAAGAGTCATTGGTCAGGGAATATCTGCCATACCACTTTGCCTGCCAAACATTTAGTTCCACTTGGCTTTTCCATCTGCCATGAAACGGAACACTCCTTTATGTGTTGTCTTATCCAGTTGGAATGTGAACTTCTTGAGAGCAGAGACTGTCTTGCTTTTTCTATTTATATCCTCAATGCTTAGAACAGTGCTTGGCACATAGTAAGTACTTACTAAATACTTTTTTATTTATCCATCCTTCAGAATTGGGGAGAAGAAAACAAACAACAAAACCAGTATACATTTGGTGAGCTGGTACCAATAAATAATTTGTTTTGAAGCAAATTGGTTTTAGGTGACTGTCCTCCATCTCCTACCACAAAGACTCTCAGGACCCCCAGTAACTAAAAGAATACTCAGAGCCGTACTCCTGGAGCTACACTGGGTCATTAGTCCAAGGGGTTGGGATATAGGGAGAAGCAGGGAAATGCAACCACTTTCACATGGTCATATCTGGCAGGATAGAATTGGTGCATCTTGAGAGACTGGGATAAACAGTTTCAATATTGTTGAAATTTTTATCAATACAGCAGTGTCCACAGAAGAGAAAATATATATTCTTTTTCATATTTTTACCAAGTACCATAATATCCTTTTCAATTTGGGGAAAATATTTGGAAGAATAAATTAGGATATCTGTACAAATAGTTCCTTGGATAGATTTGACTTTCAGTCAGTTAATACTTAAACTGTTAAATTTTTTTGCTTATAGGGGCCTCAAAGTGACGAAGGCTCAGGAGTTTCTTTTAGTTTCTCAGTGTTTAACTTAATGAATGCCATCATGGGAAGTAGCATCCTTGGTCTAGCCTACATTATGGCCAATACAGGTATTATTGTATTTAGGTAAGTGTTCTTTTACTTGGTCCTATTGTCATTAATAATTATAGGTTCATTTATATGACTGTCAGATAACTAGCCAAAATAAAGTAAAGAGACTTGGCCATTGCCCTGATTTTATTTTAGGAGTGCTGCCTGCATTTGAGGATAGGCTATATGAGGATCAATATGGTCTTTATGTTACTTCTTTATATATGTAACAAAATCCTCTTAATTAAACATTACTTTTTACCTTAGAAATTTTTTATTTAACTCCTTCCACTGCTGCAGATTGAAATAAATTTCTTTTATTCCTCAGTAGGTTTTTTTGAGCTACTTATGAAAAAAGTTATGCTTTAATGGCTAACCCTGTGGTTAATGAGACTCTTCTAAATTAGCTGTGTTAACACTCAAACAAAAATCATATAATCTAAGCCTGTTACTCCAAACCTTTTCAGATTATCAGAACCTGCTTGACATTAAACTCTGCTGGCATAGCCTTCAAGAGCTCAGAATCACCTCCACAAATGGAACTTTAGTGGAAAAGTTCATTATTAATTAATGGAATCTGATTTAAAACAGTTACTTATCTACAGAAAAAAAAAGTTTTACCCTCTAGCTTGTATCTTAATCCAATGACTAATATAAAAATCCTAATGAAAAAAGTTCATCCCTCTCATACCTTTTAAGTATTGATTCACTGTGTGTCATTATAGTCAAAGTGAACAAAGGTTTATCAGTTATTCAGATTACTTATCAATTGGAAAAGGAACGCTAAGTATATAATCTTATTCTTCTCTTTACTAGTTTTTTCTCTGTAATCCTTTCCCCTGACAATCTCATAGACTTCACTTTTGAAAACCATTCAGTTAGTCTTCATTATAGAGGCTTTGCCTAAAGAAACAAATATTAATAGTTGCTCAGTCATGAATTTAAAACAAAGCATTGGAAATGTAGTTCTATTCCATTTAAGAATTTTTTTTTTGTCTACCTCCTATAATTTTTAGGGAAATTAATTTGCGCCAATTGCCCAATTTTCTTAATTTTATGTTTTCATAAGAGACCAAATAGTTTTCATTATTTTGAATCAAGAATATTATAAACCATACTTTAGACAAAACATAGTAAATAGAATCTAGGTTTCATACATTTTATTTTATCAGGTTGAACACCAGATGTATCTTTAGTTTGGCCTCATACATATATGAGAAACAGCATGTATTAGTGAATAGAATGTCAGCACTGGAGTTAGGAAGACCCAGATTGAAGACTTATTTCAGACACATACGAGTTGTGTGACTGTAGGTAAATCACTTAACCCTTTGGTGCCCTAGAGAGTTCTTTAAGACTATATTATAGATGAGTGATTGATCTGCTTTGATGGAAGGAGTTTCTGTGCTGCTTAGTTTCCCACATTGATAAAATCACAGCTCTTGGCCATATGTGTTTGTGTGTGTGATGTAGGTAAAAATTTCGAATATAATATAATATTGAATATTTAAATGATTTGGAAAATGATTAATAAAAGTTCATATGTTCTTCAAGTCATTAAAAACTTTATGAGAGCTGTAAATTGTTATGTCATATTAATTCTATATAAAACTTGACCATCCCCACCCCACTCTATTTTTATGACTTATTAACATTGATGTTTACCACAAGGTCAAGGATTAAGTAGGACGCAAAGCTTCTTCCATACCTTTCCTGGTTATCTTTTGGACACAGTAGGGTGCTCCTTGGCAGCTCCCTGAGAAGAGCTCTCAGGGCAGTAGTGTCTCATTTTTTAGTGAGTAGTTATGGGATCTGAGGGTTTTATATTCCCAAGGGAATTGTGCATATGGTACTTTTCATTGCCTGCATCTTAGTCCTTAGAAAGAAACAGTATGTATAATTGATTGACATTTTAGATTGTAATATTGTGAGTCTTTGAAGAAGACCTGATTTGTAGGTTAAATTTAATACAAGTACAGTCAAAATATGGTCCTCATCTATAAGTAGAAAGCCCTGAGGGAGGTATAATTCATGGAATTTTAGAACTACAAAATTTAGTATGCTTTCAAATATTCAGTCCATCTTCTCCCCCACCTCACAGAATTCCTCTCTTCCTTTAAGACGTATCTCAGGCACCACCTTTTGTATGAAGCCTTTCCTAATTCCCTAGCTTTTAGTTCCCTCCCTCCAAAATTACTTTGTCTTTAACTACTTTGTATTTATTTGTATTTCTTCACTTTATTATACTAACTATACTTCCTTTTGTACTTGTTGCCTTCTCTATGAGAATGTAAACCTTTTGTGACCAAGGGTTGTTTCATTCTTTCTAGCTATATCCCCAGCAGATGGTAAGCCCCTTTTTTAAAGCTGGTTGATTGATTAGCACATAAATATAGTAAAATAGTGATATATACAAGGTCATTAGATTGATGTGACTAGTGTTCAACAAACCTGAGTAGTAAGTAAGGACATTCTTGAGGTAGGGATTTTTTTTTTTCTGTTGAAAGAGGGGACAAAAGTGAACTTGTTTAACCATGTGCTGTTTTATATTTTAGTGTCATGCTGCTGATAGTGGCTATTCTGGCTTCTTACTCAGTTCATCTTCTTCTTACTATGTGTATTCAGACAGGTAAGTAAAAAGATCGTATGTATTTTATAGAATAAAGCAGCCATTAAACTTGCCATTTGCTTACATACCTCAGGGACCTTAAAATACTTTGAGATGAATAGATATGACAGGACAGATGAATTGAGTTCTCTCAGAAGGCTAAGATGTACAGTTCTAATCTTGTAGAAAATACATTAAAACAATGATGCTGCTAGAAAGAGGAGAAAACTAGCATTCTTAGTTGTATTTCCAGTAAGTGTTACAATATCCTTTTCCATTTAGGGGATAACTAGCATCTAAACGAATGAAAATCACATAAATTATTTAGCCCTTGTGCGTCTGGTGAAAAAATAGGTCGGTATTTATGCTAACCTTCACTTCGTTGGCTAGCCATCCAGCAAACGAGTACCCTCGGGCATAGAGAGGGCTCCAGAGAGTGGGCAGGTCAATGCACATGTGTCATCATGGCATTCTTTGCTCATCATGGTCTATAACATCATCTTCATATACAGGAAAGGATGACTCAAAGTCTGATTTGCTTTATTTTTGAATTTAACTTTAAAAAAAAATCTAGACCTGTGATTTCAACAGTATGGGAACACCTAGGGTGGAGTCTCCCTTTTCTGATACAAATGAACAACTTCTGTAATTTATTATCTTACAAAATGGCTTGGAACACTGAAAGGTAAAGTGACTTGTTGTCAAGGTCACATAGCTATTTCATGTCAAAGGAAAGAACTGAACTTAGGTCTTCTTCACTGCAGACTGTGGTCTTCTATCCACTACACCAAGTTGCCTCTCATTTTTATTATTTTATATAAAGTAATTATTATTCCTTAGTTTTTGAGACTTTAGTAAAGGCTCTTTATCCTATATTCTTCCTATCTTGGATCTTAATTCTGGGAGACCAATTTAAAAAAAAAAGGTTTTAACCTATTGTAATTATTATGTATATTTTCCAGATTATGAATAAATAAATGCCTTGATTAAGCTAGATATTTCCTAGTTAAAATGTAAATTTCTCATCTACCCATACCAATCTATCTCTGATAATTCTGAAAATCTAATATCTGTCTATGTTGTTTTTCTTACTTTAGGGCATTATAAAGTAGAAGAAACCATTTTCTTTCCTTCTTAATTTCCTTTGCTCTCAATAACCTATTTGGGTTCTTCAACTGGCTTCTTCATGGTCCTGTACAGATACTACTGCTTCCTTCTTCTGTTGATTGAATTCCTTCAATCACTATAAAAATACTCTACTGAGGTAGGCTTCTTTTAATAATATCAGTGACATTTTAAAAACATGTACTTAATTGTATAAAAAGGTTTCTTGTATCAGAATTATAATACCCAGTTGTAACTCATCAGTCAGGCAAAGAATTATACAAACCTTTTGTAGGTAACCTCATCATAAATTTTCATGGGGATAGAAGTGTGGAGAATTTTTTTCTTCCCTATTTTTAGAAGCAAAGGGCTTCCTTCTGTGGCCAGGAACATACTCTTCAGGTTCTATATTGGACTCTGAGTCCCACGACATTTTTCTAGGTCCTGAGTAGTACATCATCTCTGCATTAATCTTGAGGTAGTGTTAGAATTGGTTGCTATGCAGGGTTCAGATTTTAGATGGAACAGTTTTATTTCAGAGCTCAGGATAAGCTCAGCTCCCTCTTTGCTGAACAAAGAAAACACATTTACCTCATGCACAAGGCAACATCTAGTAGGTAACTCAGTTAGCTTGTATCTCTTTTTAGGCATCTTTTGGTGCTGAGATAATTTTAAAGCCAGTAGAAAGAATGTTTCGTGCTTAAGAGTTGTATGCACTATAATGGGGGAGGCAGAATACAAATATATGTTTAAAAACAAGCAACAGAAATACAAAAATAATCTACAAGTGTACAGAACCTTATAAATGAGTGTTATATTGTTAGTGAAACTAGAAGTGGAACTGATCTGGAAACATAGTATGGATGAGGTAAGATTTGGGAGTTTTAAATGAGGGTAGGGGTAGGTTTTGGCTGAGAGAATTGAGATCATTGTTCAAGATGCAGGAAATGGCAAATTAAAAGAAAGGAAATGGAAAGTATGAGACATGATGGAGTGAAAGATCAGGGTACTTAAGTAAACTTTTTAAAGACTATAGTCAGAAATTTTAATTTTGATGTAAGAGGTTATAATCTAATAGAAACATAAATTTAGAGCTGGAAAGAACATTAGTGGTCCTCTAATATAACCTCTTCATTTTACATTTACATGAGAAATCAAATACATTTACATGAATTCTGGAGGAATTATGTGATTTGCCCAAAGTCATGCAGGTAACATATGTTAGACTGGGATTCAAATCCAGGCCCTCTTCCTTCATAGCTGCTGGTCTCCATTCTACTGAGAACCATCATAGGATTCCAAAACATTGCTCATAATGTCTCAGACATGGAAAAGTACCTTTAATTTTTTTTTTTTTTATTCTGGAGAAGTACTATGACAGTGAGTAAAAGACAGCAGGTTCAAAACCATTTTTGAGGAAGATGATTCTTATTACTGAGTAGAATAGAATGAAAGAGGAGAGGTTTGAGTCGGGGGGGTTTAGGAAGGTAGTCAATGGCTAATCTAAAGCTATGATGTTTAAGATAGCAAGAAGAATGTTATGGGATACAAGAAATACCAGGTAGCAAGGATTGGCAAGATTCAGCGATGAACTACATGGAAGAAATTGAGGATAGAAAGGAGTCATTGAGGACCTTAAGATTACCAGCTTGGATGATTGAGAAGATGGCAAAAAACAAAATGCTTTGAAAGCAATGAAAAATTGGTCAACAGGGAACATTTATTTAACATGTTTAAATCGTAAGGTATATACTATATAAGAATAGTAAGTGAGGTCTACAAAATAATGAGAAATCAGAGCTAGAGATCTTGAGGTTTTCCATATCTTTGGTAGTTGAAAATATGTTCAATAATTAGTTTGCTAAGGGAAGGGAACATAGGTGATGAAAAAAAAAAGAGAACCAGAAATCAAAAAAGAAGAAGTGGTCAGAGAGGTAAGAGGTAGTCTAGAAAGTAGAGTTTCCTGAAGGTGAAGTTTAAATATTTTTCAAAGATGAGCCAGTAACTGTGTCGAAAATGGTGGAGGTCAAGTGTTTGATGATGAGTTAGTGAATGAATTAACGACTTTAGATAATTGACCTTTATGGTCACCTTGCAACCGAAAGGAAATAAGATGAAAAGGTTGGAAAACATTACAAATAAAGAAATTCTGAAATAATAAGGGATCATTCCATGCGGCCAACTTTCTGAGGCTTGAACTATATTTAACTAACTTATGTTCTTCAGCCTAGATCCAAAGATAATATTGCTGCTGCTGAGAAGCTTGAGCTTTGTATTTCACCCGAGATTTATTAATTGTCCTTTTTCATTGAAGGAAAAATGCAGAGTAGACAGTAACTAGATGGAAATATTCCACATGTTCATGAGAAGCAGCTTTCTAAACTGTTCCTGTGAAGACTTAACTTTTTGCCAGACCAAAATAGCCATGCCATATGCCTCAATGGCACACTAAATAAGATTTTCTCTCCTGTTTATTTGATTAAGATTTACAGACTTTCAGTCTCCTCAAAACACGACATTGATTTCTCTAATATAAAATATATGTATATATATAAAAGGTTTCTGAAAATAGATTCCTCTCACATGCTGATGATTGCTTCCAGTTATTTATTTAACATGGGTTGTGCCAGGTACTGCTAACATGAATTCCTGTAAAAGATGGAAGTAATTCCATCTTTCAGATTGTTTCTGTACCGTAGGATATGCAATTAGAGAGGATAATCATTCCTTGTATTATTTTGATGTTTCTCAATGTGCTTGTTTCTTTGTAAGTCAGCTTTAACAATGGCAGCCATATGGAGGAAGGAGAGGGACAAGAAGAAACAAATGCCTAACAGCAAAAAGACAAGCAAAAATTCCAGTAAATAGACATGGAAAGTAAAAACTTTATTTAATCAAGTAACATTTTGGGGTGTGGATGAGGTGGAAGTTTGAGGTTTTTAGCAATTAAGTAACAGGATTTTAAAAAGAGTATCAACATCATATATATTGAATAAATGAGGATAGTTCATTTAAATTGTTGAAGATTATGAAGCATAAACGTTATTATTCTTATCTCAGATGTGGAAAAGTGCCCATAATTTTTGCACTTCTGTAGTCTTGTGACATGACAGTATGTAATCACTACACAGATATTCTAACTGGAAATTCAGGATTCACAACTGAGAACAGTGTTTCACTCTGTTTGAGAACTTAGTATACTCAGTGATCTTTTTTGTTGATCTCAAAATTGAGTTACCTCACAGGATCACAGAATTTTAGAGGTAGAAGGTCTTTTATAGATCATCTAGTACAGTCTTCTGATTTATGATGAGATGAGAACCTGAATCCTAGAATGGGTGAATTCACTTGCCCCTAGATTACACAGCTAGTAAGATGTCAGGGCCATCGCTATTAAAGATATTTTGACATGTTGTAGTTAATGATCTTCTTAGCCTTGAGAGGACAAGAAATAAATACATTGAGAAGCTTATAGAGTTGGAACTGCAACACATATCTCTTTTCTTCAAGTCTAGTACTGTTTATACCACAGTGTACTTCAGACTAAATTATTCACAAATTACTAGAGAAAACAATAGTTATTGCTACAGTGTGCCCTATCCAGTATCTTTTGAAATTATATTGGAATTTTCATAGAGAAAATAAGTACATAGTTACAACATTTCTAGAAGTGATCAATTTTGTTTACTATTGCTAGAGAAGTAAAAGTTATTTAATTTTTAGGTGGAAAAACAAATTAATGATGTTCATTTTATGTAATTAAATTATGGCTTGGTACCTTTTAATGAAGACACTTACTTTTCCTTTTACTAATGATAAATGTTTGTTTAGTGATACTATTTAAAAATAACCAAACCATGCATAAGTTTTTAGAAAAGTTTGTCTAAATGACTTAGATATTTACTGACTGGCTGTAAAACTGGTACTTTGGAAGCAGTTCCTAGTATTTCTAAAGTACAGAAGATAGAAAAACAAAAATGAAATAGCCCCTACCTTCAACGACCTTACATTCTAATGGCATGGTATGGTGGGATACACCACTTTTAATGTAAGGTAATTTGAAGGTGGAGAAAGTATTAACATCTTGGGAAGGTCTCAGAGGAGATTTAGAACTAGAAAAGACCATAGAGATTGTTTAGTCCAACCCCCTCATTTTATGTATGAGGAAATTGAGGCACAGGGCTTCTGAAAAATGCTCCAGTTTTCTTTCCACTATACCACACTGCCTCCCTCATTTTAATTAAAAAAAATATTTTTGTAGTTTTGTGAAGTGCTTGAAAGAATGTATAATGAAAGGCTTACAAAATAAACAACTTAAGGGAATTATTTTCCTGTAATAAGAATTTTGGAAAGCCTGCACTCAGAACCTTCACTTATAGACCAGTATGACAGCAGCATTATTGTGCTATGTGAAAGAAAGTACATTATTATTATTATACTGAGTGATCTGGAAAAAAAAATCAGTAAGACCTTGTTTATTTGACTCAACCTCTTCATGTGTTTATTTTCCAAGGCCCATTTCCTGTATAAGTTTACATAGTGAAAATATTATAGTAGATTTTGCAGCCTTAGAGATCTGTGGTCACTTGTCACAGTTATCCCTTTTTAAATTACTGTAGTGTAGTTAATTGACCAGACTTTTCCCACAGTAGCTAGTGTTACTTCTTAGTTACCTTTCTTGGAATGATAGCTTAATTGACAAGATTTTAAGGCAACCTCTGAGGTATAATGTCTGTTTAGGCTCCAGTTTTATAAGACCATCCAAAACCTTTACAGTTTGAAGTTCTGGATCAAGAAGTACTAGTAAATGGATTATATTTTTTCAAATTCAACAAAATTTAATTGTAGGATGTCAGAAAACTTTCTTGCATACAGTTCACAAATCAGACAACTCCTCTTACTTTCTGTATGGAAGGTCACAAAACATGTCTCTGTAAGAACTATTCTGTTTGATTGATTCCATGAAAATTATGATATTATTTGCTTATGATAATAAATAAATTTTTGATAAGACAATATCAAATCTACCAAATATTCTTATTTTTTTAATGTAGGTATTAAAAATTATCATTGTTCTTTTTTCTTCTGGCAGCTGTCACATCTTATGAAGACCTTGGTCTTTTTGCATTTGGATCACTTGGAAAGGTAACTTTTTTTTTCTCTGTTGACCAAGCCAGAACTAGATAATATTTTCCTCTTTTTCTAATAAAAGAGAATGATGAATGAAAAGCAGTCCATTAGGAAGATATAAAAAATTAGGAGAATAACAGGAAGTACAAGGGCAGCAGAACAAGAATAAAAGGGAAGACTGTATTAACTAAAGGAAAAAAATTACATAAATGACTGGTCTGGTAACTGCTATTTATGTTCCAAGTAAAGGTTGTAGTTCTTCCTAGAAGATAAGGTGAGGGGATTCAGGGAATGCCTTTCTATACTCCAGGTTATTAGGGGAAATGAAATATTCCTTTAAAAAAAAAGGAAGCAGTTCTTCCGTGGGGGGTGAGAGTGAGAATCTGAAGTGAAGGAGGGATAGCTTGATTCTTATTGGGAGGTTGGAGAGTGAAAAAATGTCACACATAAGATAGGGAAGATAGGGAAATGGACAAGTATAAACTTCTAGCTTAAAAACAAATTTGAGTCTTTTCCAGAAGAGGAGGAAACTGGATGATCTGAGGAATAAGTAGTCCTCCAAGGAATGATGTAAAAGAGCTATAGCAAGGTATCATGTGACAGGTCACCAGTTAAAAGTTAGAAGAAGAAAGGAAAAATAATGGTAGTTAGTGACTTCCTTGCTCAGAGATACTGAGGTAGGTGATTACCAAGCTGATAATAATAGATAGGTTCATCATCTTCCCAAGGCCTATATCTAAGATATTACACAGAATCCCAGGACCTTCACTGAATACCTGTGAGACTTTAACCAGTCTCTTAACCTCTCTGAGTCTGTTTCCTCCTTTATAAAATGAGAGGTTTGAACTTAATGGCCTCTGAGGTACTGTTCAGCTCTACATTTATGATCCTAAGAAGTACACATTTATAAAGACCTATTGAAATGTGTGACTACTACCCAATTTTGGTGGTCCGTGTGGGCAGAAATGATACTGCCAGAGGGAGCATAGACAGTACTGGCAAAGATTACAGAGTCTTGGACAAGAAAGTGAAGGGCATGGGTATGAGTTGTGTTTTCCTCAATGCTTCCTGCTGAAGGAAACAATTGATTCTTATTTTGTTTTTTACTTTTTTTTCTGCAAAGGAGAATGACCGTTACACCAGAACTAACCGAATAAAAATTACTACTAAGATTTGTAAGGAGAGCACCTCGTTGGTATTGATGAATTCAAGTCACCTGGCCCAGATGAACTGCATCTTAGGGCACTGATAGAACTGACAGATCTGATTGCTAAGCCAACATTAGTGGTATTTGAAAGGTGATGAGTATGACCTTTATGGAAATAGGAGAGGTACCACAAGACTAGAGAAGGACAGATGTCTTGATTTTCAGAAAAGGGAAGAGATTAGAATCTACAGGCTTTAGACCTGTGAGCTTGACTTTGATTCCTGGGAAAACTCTACAGGGGTGGGGAACTTGCAGCCTTGAGGCCACCTGTGGCCTTCTAGGTCCTCAAGTGCATCCCTTTGACTGAATCCAAACTTCACAGAACAAATGCCCTTAATAAAAGGATTTGAGGAGGCAGTAGCAGCTAGGAGGACTAGGAAAGGCCGCTTCTTGTGCTTCAGCCAAATCTCGAAGCAAATGACAAACCCTGAAGTATTTTGGTAAAAAAAAAATGGAGGCAGGAAAACTTGATTTTGTTGGCAGTCTATTTTTTACCACCTGGACAGAAAGAAAAAAATTAGAAGAAAAGATCATAAGCCTGTTGCAGAGGCATGAGATAGGAGTGACTGACAATTTTAATTATCCAAACGTCTGCTTGATCTCTCTGTTTGCAAAACATGGAGGGGCCAACAAGGGGACAGTCTGCATTGGATATCTTAACAACAGGAAGGTTGCTGGAGTAGAGATGATGGGTAAACATTGAAAAGAAGAAACCACTTCCTTCTTTGGGTATATGAAAGAGGAGAAGAAAGGTATATTCTGACATATACCTTAGATTTGAGAAGAGTAGATTTCAGAGGAAGGATAGATGGAATTTCATGGATTAAAATTATGCAGGCGAAATAAGCCCAGGAGAGATGGAAAACATTCAAGGATGAAATTCCAAAGACATACAGGGAAGCAGTTCCAACAATGAGGAAAAATGAGAGCTGCCTGAAAAAGACCAGTGACAGTCAGCTAGCATTTATGTGCTATTATGTGCCAGGCTCCGTACTAAAAAATTTCATCTTTGTCTATTGGCTGCTTCCCTGCTCCCTATAAATATGCTTGTGTCTCTTCCATTGTCAAAACACTCTTACTGGATCTATCCATCCCTTTTAGTTATCATTTTAGATCTCTTCTCCCTTTCCTAGCTAAACTCCTTGAGAAAGCCATTTACAATAGGTGCTTCTACTTCTTTTTGCACTACTTACTGGACATCTCAAACTGCATGTCCTGTAGAGAGCTTAAACTGAACATATCCAAAACAGACTCCACGCTCTTGGGTTCAGACTGATGGGAGAGGTAACATGCAAAAAACTGTCTCAGAGGGAAGGCCCTGAGATGAAGGAGAACAGGGAAAGTCTTCTGGCAGAAGATAGAACTTTAGCTGAGACTTGAATGAAGCCAGGGAAGCCAGGAGGCTGAGGAAAAGAGGGAGAACATCTCAGACATGGGAGACAGCTGGTAAAATGTTCAGATGAAAGCAGCAAACATCTTTGAATTTTAAAAGGTATATGCAGAAGACAGAAGCAAAAGTAGGTGACAGGATGAAGAGTATGGCATGGTCCTATACAAATAGGATTAAATGGCATGCTCATCAGATTTACAGATGATACAAAGCTGGTGCAAATGACACAATAGCTGGCTTATCGGATGGCAGTCAGATTCCAAAAGATCTTGATCGGCTTGAACTTTTAGGTCAAGAGTGCTAAAGCTCAGAATGAGATGTGATTTGGCAGTGAAACTAAAGATAACAAAAAGCATTTTGGCGTTTGTCTTTTTTGTTATTTTGGAGGAAAGAGGAGATAGGACTGCTACTCAGAGTAGATAGGATGATGATTACTGACAGCAGAAAGAAGACAGACGTGCTTAAATCTTAGTTTCCTTCTTCCAAGAAGTGTGACCTTTATAATGGAAGTGACCAAACAAAAATTTTTACTTGGGAATTGATGCCCACGACAAATGAGATAGCAAATGAGCATGTGGTTGTCTTTAATGAATTTGTCATTTAGCTCATATCATAATAGCTAACATTTATACAGCACTTCCTATATGCCAGGCACTGTGCTAAGTGCTTCACAATTATTATTTAATCTTCACAGTGACCCTGGGAGGTAGGTGCTATAACATATAGCAAATATGTAATATAACATATATATATGTGTGTATATATATATATTTATATATACACATATATTCACACACACACACATATATGTATATTCCTATTTTACAGATGAGGAAACTAAGGTGAACAAGTTAAGTGACTTCCCCGGGATTACACAGCTAGTACTTGTCTGAGACTGGATTTGAACTTGAGTCTTCTTATCTCCAGGTGTAGTGCTCTATCCAATGAACTATATCCTCAGGTTTTCAAAAAAAATGACAGCTGTGATTACTGAGCTAGTAATATTTGAAAGACCATAGAGAATGAGAGGAACACCACAGAACTACAGGAGGGAAAATTCCTGAATTTCAGGAAAAAGGAGAAAGAGAATAGATTCCACAAACCACAGGCCAGTGAGCCTAACTTTGATTTCTGGAGAAATTCTAGAATAAATCATTTAAGAGACAGTTAGTGAACATCTAGAGAAGCATTGTTTACAAAGGGTGAACATGCAGCATCAAGAACAGATTATGTCCAACCAACTTTATTTCTATTTTTGACCTAATGGATTTAAACTAATAGATCAAGTGACCAAATCAGTCTGCCTAGATTTTAGCATACATTTGATAAAGTATCTTATGCTATTTTTGTGGAAAAGATTGCAAAGCACTAGATGATAATACAATTAGATGCTTCCAGAAATTGTTGAATGGCCAAACAAGGAAAACAGCCACGCTGTTCTCTGTGGTTCAGTGTTATTCTAGCTAGTCATCTGCAGTTGAGTGCTGCAGGGCTCTGTGTTTGGATGTTTGACATCTTTATCCACCACTTGGCTAAAGCATTAAATGGCATGCTTACCAGGTTCACAGATGATACAAAGGTGGTGCAGATGATACAATAGCTAGCTCACAGGATAGCAGTCAGGTACCAAAAGATCTTGATAAGCTTGAACTCTTAGGTCAATCTTAATAACATTCAGTAAGGATAAATGTAAAGTCTTGATTGGGTATAAGAAGTCAACTGTACAGTTACATGGTAGGAGATGCATGAAGAATGGTATAGTGGATAGAGAGTTGGCCCTAGAATCAGGAAACCTGGGTTCAGTTTCTTTGGGCTCTGATGCATTCTGGCTTCATGACCCTGGGCAAATCCCTTCGTCAGTCAATACCCCAAGCAACTCTTTAAGATTATGAGTTATAGTGTAGTTGGTGATCTGCATTGGTAAAAGGCATTTCCTTCCTGGGAATTCCCCTACAAGAAATCTAATCCATATTTTAATTATAGTCTCTATTACAGCTAAGGCACTATAACGTGTCCTAGTTAATACTAAGAAGAAAGAGAAAAAAAACAGTCCCTGCTCTCAAGAATGTTATATTCTGGGAGTGGAATAAGATGTAATATTTCATATTTATATAGCACTTCACATCTTACAACATGCTTTCTTCAATTATCTATAATACAAACTTGACTGAAACAGGGCATAACCTTCATTTCTGACCTTCATAATCATCAGTATTCCCTCAGACACCCAAACTTCCTAGTTCCTCAGTTTATTCATTTGCCTATTCCTATATACAAAGATGGTCATGCCCTTTATCTTGCCATGACCCCCAAATGTTCTACATCTATATTCATGAACTTGGAATTATTTTATCTTACCATAATCTGTTGTCATTCCACCTTTCCCTGTGTCTTAAAACTGGCAATCCTATTCTTCAT